AGGAGAAATAAACCACCTTGCAACTGAAAGGGAACAATCTGTTTCCACCACAAATGGTATATCAGGCAATCATGGGGAAATGTCAGTCTTCATCAAGGAAAGAGGATGCTTTCCAGGGACAGCCCATGAAGAAAGACAGTAGAAACTTGTCTGCTGTGAAGGAGTTTTCACTTCTGTAAGCATGACAAGATGTTGTGGAGAGCAGAGATGGTAAACAAGGTACAAGTCTAAGTCGAGGAACTGCCTCAGTTTAGTTGTGGTCAGACTCATGCATGATTGCAGTTTTTGAAAGCTGCTTTAGTACTGAAAACCACAGGGAACATCTTTACTTTCAGATAACTCACCACAGATTTAAAAAAGCTCTGTGAAGATGATGCATTTTTTTTTTCTGTCAAGGGAAATTAAGACCAATTCAGTTCTAGTTTTCTAAGCTTTGGATATAGGGATGAACTGAATAAATGCTCAAGAACTCTTGCAGCAGACTTTTCTGCTGTTGTCCTATGATCCTACTCTTTTACTTTTGCTACTGAATTTAAAGTCACAAAAAGTTAATCTAGGCTTGTGTCTTGGCTCATCATGACCTCATGTTACAAAGTACTGAGGTATTCAAATATTTTGAGCACTTGATCTGTCACAGGAAGCACCCAATGTTTAGCAGCATCTTAAAAACAGACTCGTCACTCATCTTAGTGAACAAAAACCTCAGCTTACATCCTGTGACAGGAAAGTTCCTATGCATTAGGTCATGCCCTAATGTATAGAAAGACTGTGATGAGTAGTGCTTTCAAGGGTTGGACAAGAGAACAACCATGGACCCTCCATCTGAGCAAAAAGTACCAGGGACCAGGTGAGTCACTTGTTGCAGCATGTATATGTAACACACTTGCAGGGCACAAGACCTCAGCGAAAGGAAACTTTATATGCATGAGACACCCAGAATGTCACATGATGGTAGGGGTGATCAGGTGGTCACAAATAATCCCATTAGGAAAAAAAATCTGGTTTTTTTTTAACTTTTCAAAGTATGTTTTTCAGTGAATAACTTCATCTCCCCAAAATTTCTCAGTTCTGAGAGTTCTCTGTATGAGAGCTGAGCTGATTTGTCTCCATATACAAATAATTCGCTTGAATTTTATCAAAAACATGGACAGGGCACAGGTAGCTCATGTGCATGCAACAGTAGCAAAGAATTTGCAGTGGAGTAGAAAAGAGCTTCTGTCTAACAAGCACTACAGCTAAACAAATATAGGTAATAAAACCCTAGCAAGTGCTGAAATCCCAGGGATACATGAACATCGCATTTTGTTATACACCTCTTTTATGCCACCCCTCTTTTCCTCTCTGAAAAGAAGAGAAGAGAAGAGAAGAGAAGAGAAGAGAAGAGAAGAGAAGAGAAGAGAAGAGAAGAGAAGAGAAGAGAAGAGAAGAGAAGAGAAGAGAAGAGAAGAGAAGAGAAGAGAAGAGAAGAGAAGAGAAGAGAAGAGAAGAGAAGAGAAGAGAAGAGAAGAGAAGAGAAGAGAAGAGAAGAGAAGAGAAGAGAAGAGAAGAGAAGAGAGAGAAGAGAAAGAGAAGAGAAAGAGAAGAGAAAGAGAAGAGAAAAAGAGAAGAGAAAGAGAAGAGGGAACAGTAGTTCAGCAGAACTACCCCCAAATACATGAGTAGCACATATCTCACTCTGACATGCATGGCCCACAAGACAAAATTAAGCTTTCCAGCAGCATGCTGCAGCCTGGCTGATGGGAGCCACTACTGGTCCTTATTCTCCATACCTGAAGGAGCAAGGGTTCTCTTCAGGGTCCAAAGCGTGGTTGGCGCTGGCAGGGTTGTTGCTAGGGGAAATCAGGTGAAGACAGAGGAGAAACTAAATTAGAGCCTGGGCAGCAGGAACCAACCCCCCGAGCTAACCCATCCCATCTGGCAAGAATTGCACTTGGAGATGGAACACTCTCTCAGCAGTGGGCTTCTCTCCCAGCCACTGTGCTAACATTAGTACAGAGTTCAGCAACAAATTAACCTTCCCTCACAGTACAATAAGGTTGAAGTTGGTCTATTTAGTGCATTATTTCACAGAGTAAAAGGAGACTGAGTCAAGAACTTAACTTGGCTTATGGCTGTCACTAGGCAGTGCCCAATTATGCTGCAGCATTTTCACACATTATGACAGTTCAGCTCTCGGAAATAGCATGACACAAGTTTTTTGCATGGGTGGGACTGTACATGACTCACATAAACATGGTACATTTTCTGATGTTATTGCTTTTGTGGTAGTTCTTTTTAGGCCACAGTCACAACTTAAGTTGTCCCTGGAATCCCAGGCATAAGACCCTTTGCAAAATTCCCTATTTAAAATGGCAGAATGTAGGCATTATCCAGAAGTATATCAGAAAGATGGCAAATGAGAGAGGAGTGAGAAACCCTTCACAAATGCTCAAGAGACCAGTTAAGTCTCTTCTGTGAGACCTTTCCAGGGCCATTAAGGAACAGTTTCCTAAACTCCATTTCTGCTCCAAGTTTCTACGTCTAGCAAAAGAAGACCTGCAAAAATCTAAATACTGTGGTTTTAAGAACGAAGAGACCTTTGAAACTAAAAGGACTCTCTTAACAGCCACGTATGACATGTTATCCTTGAATTTTAGGTTTCCTTTTTTTAAGCCCTCATCTGAGGGCATCTGGTGGGCAGGCTATCACACCTGAATAACCTGAGTCATTCTACTTTTATACCTGACTGAGATGCATAAGGTGCAAACTTCATGTAAGTTTGTTCATCTCTCATACATGGTATGATTTTGCATACCAGTTCCTTTCCTCTTGAAGGAATGACTGACAGTTGTGGTAATTGCCTGATGCTTTCCATCATGACCAAGGACCTGTATTGAGCACTGGAGAGCTGAGTCTGCAGCCACATCTGGCAGAAGATATTAAGTGAGGTTCAACTCTCACAACACTCAGGGAGAATTTAAAATGTAAAGCTTGATGAACTCACAGTGATAACACATTGGATATCTGAGAATTCAGCTTGGATGGTGACGAAGACCGGTTCTTAAATTCTCTCAGACCTGTGATACCCGACAGTCATGAGTGACTCAAAACCTACTTCCTTCAGAGGCTTAAAAACATGTTTTTCTCAGCTGTTGTTACACCCTGATTTCAAATAATTTCTGTATGGACCCCAGATAGCTCTTACCACCAGATGCAATGAATAGCTATCAGTACATATTTGGTACACTTTTAAGAATAATCCATACTTTTGTTTATGACAACTTCTTCATTTCTCTGAAGATGCAACTTTTGACCTTGCAACGTTATCCTACTCACCTGCAGTTGGCACGTCTTCAATCGTGAGAGAAGTGTGAGCACTTTTAGTTCCCTCTGCAGTTGGAAGTGTACTTGGGAATTCAGTAGTCACTGAAACAAGACAAAAAGTAATGCTTATAAAGATCATGGATTAGGGGGTTCTTCATATGGTGTTCCAAATTGCTTGCAAGCTTCTGCATCTGCAACTAAGAGGTAAAACTCTGCACCTCAGTTTTCATGACTGTAGCTCATCCTACCCAGATAACTGATATACTTTACTAGCATGGTCAGTGGTTAGACGTTTTAACTGTTCAGAAATTAATTGTTGCCAAGATTAACCGGGGCGCATTGTTATGCCTGGAAGACAAGAGATGATACAGAAAAGCTGTCCTCAGAGGTTCAGGTCAGAAAGAACTTCAAGTGATAGAACACTCAAAAAATGTACAAAAAACAGCCTTGTGGGCAGACATGAATCTGTAGAAAAGAAGTCATCGACATGGATATAGTGGCAACCTAGGAATAGTTAGGATGATGGTAGGTCACTCTAATCAACTAAATAATAATAATAAAAGCAGCAGACTTTGTACGGGATGACACTGTAAGTACTCTCTTTTAAGAGTGTTTTGAATTCTTACTGACTTTATTGCTCAAGTAGAACATGCTCTAAACGAACATTTTCAGCAGACCATTTCAATTGTCTTTCCCGAATCAAGAAAAATATTAATGCAGAGTTGAGTGAATCTCTCTTACGCAATCCCAGGTGCAGGACTTGGCATTTATTTCTGTTGTACTTCATGAGGTTTCTGTCACATTATTTCTCCAGCCTGTTAAAACTCCTCCAAATGCAAGCCCGACACTCTGCTGCCTTGGCCACTCACCCCAGCTTATCATCCACAAAATTTGACCTGTGTTTCCTTCAACCTACTGAGACATACCTGTAGACATCCCAGAGAAAACTTCCCAGATACAAATATAAGTATCTGGAGAGTCTCTATGATGCCAGAGTCAGGCTAACACAGATCATCTTTGTTACACGGGAGAAAGAAAGGATTGGTGCTGGTTACCCTCTGTATCTCCAGGAAGAGGGAAAGACTCTGTTGTGCAGAACACGTCGTCATCTTCAGTCCTCATGTCAGATGCTTGGAAATCAGTGGAAAAATCTAGGAGAGCACTGGTTGTCAACATAGTTTCTGGAAAAACGTCATTTGTTGTCACAGGAAACACTGGGGGAGCAATGGTCTCCAGCATCATTACTGCTGGAGACTCGGTGATTGTGGTTGTTGCTGGGCGGATGGTGGTTGTCAGAAGGACAGCGGTCTCTGCTGTTGCTTGATGATCGGTGGTTGCAGTTGTTGCTTTGGGGACGGTGGTTGTCAGGAGGACAGCAGTCTCTGCTGTTGCTTGATGACCAGAGGTTGTTTGGGGAGTGAAAGTTGTTTTTCTAAAACGTTTTGGGGAAACAGGAGCCTTTCTTGTTGTGGTTGTCATTACTGGAGGGGCTACATGGAAAAAACATAGCCAAGAGAAAAGCTAGATCAGAGCATTCACAACCAACCCTGAGGAAAGCCAATCCAGAAATGAATGAGAAATACTGAGAATGAAGGTGGGGGAGTCGCTATTTTAAAAAGCTTGTTTAATTAGAAGAAAATATGACCCAGCCAGAGCAATTCCCAGATTTACAGATTTGGGGGGTTTTTTTCCGTAGGTCTCAAATACCACCTCTGGTCAAGAGTGAACTCTTACAGAAATGGAAGTGCCAGAAACTCGCATGGTAGAGCTCAAATACTTGCAAACATTGTGATTTTGCTTTTCAGTGTCCTCATAAAAACAAAATAAATAAAATAGCTCAATTTTCAGCTATAAGCTTCTTGCTAATCCTTTCGACCCGTCCTTTTTTATGAACTCTGTTGCCCTCAAACTCTGGGATTGCAGCATTTTTTCCCCCACTCTTCTGTTATATCACTTACAACAAGCACACAAGAGTCCTGTGTATAATCCTGAATACCCTTTAAAAGTAAGAAAAACATTTGTTTTTCTGCAGTATAGAGGGTGGGTAGCATCTTTTCTTCTGTGTTTTCCAATGCTTTTAAATCTCTTCTTGACTTTGTAAGACACTTACTTTATCCTGCAGCTCAGCAAAATAATAGGAAGGGGGAACAGTCCTTCAAGACACTGAGACAAAATTTCTAAATATGTGGGTCTCCGTGTGACATGAACCAAATGAAAGACTTTTTGGTGTTGGGGTGAACCCCAAATGAAAAACTGAATTTCACTCCAAGTGCTCTTCAAGTGATAAATCTCTTTTTTTTAATTCCATCATCTTTTAAAACATCAAATATAGCTATACAACGAGAAATTAAATATTTCATTTGAAAGGCAAAAAAAGGGTAAAAGTTACTAATTTTGTATCAAAACTGCTCACCGAATGCAATTGAAATTGGCAACCGATTGCAGACCTCCTTTGAAAACTACAGGAAAAAAACTTTTTGCCAAAACAAAACAAACAAAAAAAGCACACATAAACTCCAATTTTAAACTTGTATCCACTGAGAGATTCCTCCCTGTTGGCTGTATCGCGCGGGCCCCAAAACTCACCTCTGACCACCTCCAGTCGCATGTTCTGTTTGATGTCGTTGAACCAGCCCGGGATCTCTACACGGCAGCAGTATGTACCTGCATCTTCTGCCTTCACTTTCCCGATCGTGAGGGACACATCTCCGTAGGAAATATAGCCCCGGAGATCGTACCTCTGAGATTTTCTGAACGTCACCCTATTCCCAGTGGTGTGCAAAATTTTGTTATTGCACTTTGAGTTTGGGCATGGGCCTCTGCCCCAGCACATATCGGAGATGTCCTTATGTCGCATCACCTGGTAGAAACAAGGCAACCGAACAGGTTGCCCTATTACTCCTCTAACAACAGCTTCAGATGCAGTGTGGGCTGTCAAGGAAGAAAAAGGAAAGATGAGCATTGGCAGTCTCCGATGCTCGGCTCTACCTAGGCAACACAATGAAAAGGAAAAAGAAAGCTACTGCTTGAAGGCAGGCCACAGTTAGTGATCCCCTGAGCCTTCCCCAGCACCCTGTGGCAGCTAATAGCCCAGGGCTCGATGGGTGACAGCCAGGAGCTCGCCAGCATTGGCTTGCTGCTTCTGCTGCTGCTGGAGGGCTCTGTGCTCCAGCCCCAGCTGGTTGCTCATGAAGTTGATCACTCACATCAAATGTGTGGTGAGCAAAGGCAAGGTCTGTTGCTGGCAGCCTGAGTGCAGACTAGACCTGTGCAAATAGAATGAGGGGACTCTGCTCCCATCCCATCTCATCTCCTAACAGGTAGTTTGAAAGTTGTTCAGAAACCTGGTATGAAATATGTCTGGATTTCTCAGTCTACCATGGCCTCCTTCAAAAAAGAAAATGGGGTCATAGTTGCCTTTCACTGACAATCTCAATAGCAAGGTCCAAAATACTTATTCATGTGCATAACTAGGGCCTAATTAAGCTGGCAGAGCAGTGGGATCTGTCTATGGGAACCTGTTCTCAGAAAGTGCGCTGCTTTTTCTATTTCTGAGCAAGCCCTGCCACCTGTCCAAATTACCTTGCAGAGCACTGTGTACACAGGAGCTGTAACTGCTAGCGTTAGACTGATGTTAAAAAGAGCAAATGCATGCCTGTCTTGTGCTCGCACCCTTAATGAGCAGCTGTACTTGGTGCTTGCAGCCAATATCCACCTGAGCATCCGGTTTGAATCTTCGCTACCTATTGCTTCCTCTTAACTGTCCACGCAGTGCCCTAAAAGGGATTTCTAATCTAAAAGGTTCCCATACAGGAACAAATATTTTCTGTTTACATTCATGTGGACCATGTCAGTCCTCCTATCTTGTTGCCTTTTTCCCCCATGTTATCATTTACATATGGTGGAGCAGGAACCGAGGGAGCTGGGGAGCACACAGATTTGGTGCTCTGCTGCAGAAAGAGAACCCTCCTGCAGATCTGATGTCTCATGGACAGCTTGCTTACCCCAAAGAGGACTTGCAGCAGTTGCTGCCATTATCACCAGCTTTGCCCCTGGTTTGCCAAACATTTCTATTTTGCCAGCTGTTTGCATGCCTCTCCTTTTTGGCGTGACTCCCAGATAGCAAACAGATGCTTCCAACTATGTCCATGTCTCTTTTGTTTTGTCTTTAATGGACTATTCCCCAGGTGAGGTTTTAGTCTGTGGCAGGCTGCCTCACGACTTCTTATTGGGATGACATTTCGGCTTTATCATTGCTTCTCCTATTGGCAAGATAAGCCAACTTGTTCAGGTTTTCACAGCTCCTCATGCTAAAAGAGTAGAGGCAGACAAAACAACATGCAATATGGCATGAAGGGCAGAAGCTTTTGCAGTGAAATGAAGGTAGGAAGTGCCAGAAAACGAATTCCTGAATACAGGATAAGGCTTTGCAAGATGGCTGCTTGTTTTAGCCCTTGGAAAGGGTGGGGTCATTTGCCTTGTTACAGCAAAACAGTGAAAACAGCCTCTTTCTGTGATGACAGGACAAAATCGTTCATCCACTTGACCTTGAAAGTATCCCTAGGGAAGCAGAGGATTAGTCACTGAGCAGGTTAACAAATATTTTCAAGTCACTCCAAGAAAGATGCATGTAAAACCAAGACCAGCTTGAACTGTTCCCGAAGTTAAGGTCACTGATGCTTGAGGAGAAATGGGCTTATCTTCTGGTCTTATTTCATGCCTGTCCTGCACAGCACAAAACCAGCTTCATTAAGCAACCCTTCAACAAATGAAAATTTGCCTGCTTTTCCCTTTGAAAGAAGCAGAGCCCTGAGCTCTTCTTCTAAAATGAAGAAGAGGGAAGACACAAGGCACCAGAGTGTCTCCACTGCAGTTTCCCACCAGTATTGGTGCTAGAAAGTTACAGGTTTTGCAGTTTCAAATCCTCTTTTAATTTATGTGAAGCTAATGTTCCTATCGTCCGCCTGCGCTGCAGGTTGGTATGGTGTTGTGGTTTAACCCCAGGCGGCAACTAAGCAATACTGCAACAGCCTTGATTCAACATCATGAACTCTGCAAGGACTAACTTCCTTCTGAGTTGCAGCCTCTTCCACAGACATGTTTTCCAAAAGAAATAGTAAACAGGATTGAATCAACATGTCTTTGAAATTAAGAGGTTCCTCAGACCGTTATATTGTGACACCCTAGTCTTACTGTGAGAGAGCTCCTGCCCTTGTCCATGGCAGTGACCCTCCTAGGCATCCAGATTTGACCCAAGGCACACTGAGCATCAGCTGTGCCTGGGTGGTCCCACTGAAGTCAGTGTCATGCCAAGTCCTTAATCCAGTTGAGAGAAAAATGGACTCCAGGTGTTTAATAACTCTCAAAATAGAAAGGGGTATTCATAATTCTTCAGAGCATACCTTGCAGCCTGCTCTAGGTGACCCTGCTTTGGCAGCGGAGTTGGACTAGATGATCCACAGATATCCCTTCCAACTCCTATGATTCTGTGATACTGATATACACATATTTATATATAGTCTCTCATGAACCAATCCTCAGTGACAGTTGGTATTAAGCAGTAACTCCAATAGTTGCTGTCGTAGTGGTCTCCTCTCCCGTAGACTGGTCATTCGATGGGCAATGGCATACATCCCCCAGCCAAGAAGGCTAGTAGAAAAGGAATTTTTTTCCTTGATTGATTTTTGGAATAATTTTCCTTCTTTGTAGAAGATATTTGGCATCTTTTCCCTATCAACCCCATTTTTTTTTTATTTCTTCTTGAGTCTTCTGTACTGATGAAATTGCAGAGAAAATGACTGATAAGCACAAAAGCAGCATCTAACTGCCTGGTTGGCTGGTTTCCTGAGTCTCAAGACTACCCATTCTCAGCATTGAGCTGAGTTACAGAGAAGCTAACAAAAAGGTCATTTTCACCCTTCTATACCTCTGCATATGAGAAAGCTTTTGAAAGCAAGACCAAATGGAGGTGAGTACCTCCAATTTGTTTTGAGGGTGAAGATATGGCAAGGAAAGAGCCCTTCTGTTTCTTCTGCTGAGACTGGCAAAAGACAAAAAAATATTATGGAATTCCCTGAGCTACAGCAAAGTACTGGCGAAGCTCCACTTGTGCAGCACACACCATGGAGGTTGTGATTGGCTCTTGCCCCTCGGCATATCCCTCCGCTGACCAAAATTTTCCAGTATTTTTCAAATCAATTTAAGAACATCGCAGTTGTTGTAGATACTGTATGCAATATTTCATCCTGGCAGAGGATAGCAAATTAATATTTAGCCATCTGAGACAGAACTTCCTGAAATGCCTAAGTGACTTAAAAGCACAAATCCCATCAGGAGCTCAGACCCCACTGAGAGTGGGTGAACTCACATTCCTGACCCACCTCAGGCAATTTGGAAACTGCTTGGCTGACGTCTAAATGTGCATCCAGAAATGCAGCCGATACCAACCACAGTTGCAAGATCCAGCCTCTTAAGTTACTCTTCTTTGACTTCTATCTTGTTTTAGGATGCAGATTTTAGATGGGTGAACTGAGTATGTGGAAGTAAATGGAGAGGAAACTCCAGCTATGCTTTCCCATAGTCAGTTCACAGCAGCAGACAGCCCTCGGAGTTTCAGCAAATCCTTTCTTTATCATCTATACACAGCCATTACTCTACCAATAACTCAATTCCCTAGCTTGGGCTGTGTCAGCACTATAGCATGGTGGAGAGACAGATGAAGAAGCAAAACCAGCAGTACACATTTAAGAGCAGTAAAGAAAGTAGATAATTTGGGAAGATGGGGAAACTAACCAAGCTTACACAGAGAGCAAACCACAAACATTTTTAAAAGGAAAAAAAAAATCTCGATCAGTATTAACCCAGAAAGTTAAGTTTTCTTAACTGTAGTTCTGTATACAGAACTTCTTTCTGTAGTTCTGTATACAATTTTGACCTTTTTCACTGTTTTGTTTTAACAAAACAAGTGTCACTGATTTTAATTTTACGATATATTTGTTTTCTGAGCAAGCACACAAAAAGCAGGTGAAGACTCACCTATAAAGATCTGTATCATAATCCAGTGAAACAGTCCAAAATGGGACATTTTAGCTGATGGAGACTCCAGGGCAGCAAGTGGAAGGAGAGAAAACTAGATGTTGTACTTTCCAAAAATGCTGAGTGAGCCCCACTGAAGTCTCATTTCTCCATTTCCAGATTTTATGTATGGCAACTGCTTCTTTCCTACGCTTCCGGATAGATGCTGGTCAAAAGAGGTGATTGGAGAATTAGCTGTAATCTGCTGTGTTCAGCGATGGTGCGGCCTCACTTTGAGCACTGTGTGCCGTTCTGGGCCCCACAGTTTAAGAAGGATGTGAAGGTCCTTGAATGGGTCCAGAGGAGGCCAACAACGCTGGTGAAAAGGTTGGAAGGCATGTCCAATGAGGAGCAGCTGAGGACTCTGGATTTGTCTAGTTTGGAGAAAAGGAGGCTGAGGGGCCACCTCATTGCTCTCTATAGCTTCCTGAGACAGGGATGTGGAGAGGGAGGTGCTGAGCTCTTCTCTGTAGTACCCAGTGATAAGATGCATGGGAATGGTTCAAAGCTGTGTGCCAGAGGAGGTTTAGACTGGACCTTGAGAAACACTTCTTTACTGAGAGGGTGGTCAAACACTGGAACAGGCTTCCTAGAAAGGTGGTCAATGCCCCAAGGCCATCATGTTAAGAGGCATTTGGACAATGCCCTTAATAACATGATTCAACTTTTGCTCAGCCCAGTGGTCAGGCAGTTGGACTAGACAACAATTGTAAGTTGCTTCCAACTGAGCTTTCTATCCCATGCTACCCTATCCCACTCCATCCTATCTTCCTTTCCTCTTCCAAGACACTCAGCGTGGTACTACCACCAGAAATTTCAATATACTATTTGTTTTGCCTTTCCAAGGAATAGTTAAGGCCCATTACTGTTCTGCGGTGCTGAGCAGCAAGACCAAGCTCCGTGCTCTTGCACTCTTAAACATTTGACTTGGTCTCCACCTCTGACTTTGTCTTCACTTACATTTTCTTAATCACTTGTTTACCCTGATTCTGCCTTCTGCTTGAAGACTCCTCTCTTTCTTTCCCCCGCTTCATATTTCTATTTGAAAAGACAGCCTTGGAGGAACTCTTATAAATGTTTTCTCGCCAAAAAACATCCTTCCCAAAGATCTGCAACACCATCTCCAATATTTTTTACTCTTTCTGACTTTTTCCTTTTTTTTTTTTTTTTAATTTCAATATTTTTTACTCTTTCGTTCTTTTTCCTTTTTTTTTTTTTTTTACTTTCTAACCAATAGATAAAGTTCTCTGGAAGTTCATCTCTGGAAAAGAAAAGTAATAAAGCAAAAGTAATTCAGGTCATTAAGGTCAGGAGTGAAGAACTACAGACAGACAAAATTCTGTGCAAATAGATGCAGCATGATGCAAATGGGAGAGCAATTCCAAGTTCAAATGATAAAATGAGGGGTTTAGCCAGACATTATCCACTCAGGAATGAGATTTTGGGCTTATCATGAGTAGTCAAGCCCATGAAAACATCACTCCTCTGTTCGGTAGCACTGAAAAAAGCAAATAAAAATTTAGCTGTTATTAGTAAAACCATAGAAAACAAAGCAGAAGAAAGCATTACACCACTGTACAAATCTACTTGGAATCTATGTATAGTTCTAGTCCCCTCAAAAGTGTGTCTTAGATCCATAAAGGGTCCCAGGAAGGGCAAAAAGAATGGTGGAAAGTATGGAAGAACTTCCACAGGAGAATTAGATTCGTAGCCCAAGATGAGTCAGCCTGGAAAAGAGACAACCTAAGGGGCACCATGAACAGGCTTACAAAATCCTCAGTAGCACAGGAAGGTTGGAGAGGGATTAGTTGTTTGATATTCCCCCCCAACACACAGCATCAGAGAAGGACTCTTGTGCTTGCAGACCTGTTGGGCTTGGCAGCACACTGGAGCGGGAGGCTACCTCTCATCAGCATCCTCATCCATCACTCCAGCACTACCTCACAGTGGCAAGAAATAGACCCCCAGCAGACTAGGCTCCAGCAAAGCCAGGACGCCTGGTTTACTTCACCAGCATGTAGGCAATTGATGCTGCCATAGCCAACTTTGTGGCAGATTCAAGCAGCATGAAGCTCCGAGAATTATTCTGAGTTTATTGTGAATCAAAGTGATGCCGCAATGCTGCCCTACACCTTCACATGCTTCAGTGCAGCATAAACAGCAACCAGTGGGGACAGACACAATAGTACAGTGGTGTTCTGTCGTCAACATTATAAGGCAGGTTAACCAGCAGTCGGTAAATTTGCTATATTCTACAGTGCCAAGTACACACAGCCCCAGCTGTTCTGTGAACAGAACTAATGTAACCTGATGTGTCCAATATCCTGGAGACTTCTTGCCTGCAATGATCCCAGTTTCTCCTCTGTCTCCCATCGCTCACCATCAAGCAGTGGCAGTAAGCCAATGCCCAGCTGACGCCAGTGCGGGGAGCAGCTGAATCCCACCTGGGGCACAGATTTGGGTCTTTATCCAGCTACCAATTTCCATGAAGCTTGCCAAAACAGAATTGGTCAATATGTTGCAGGTGACCAGGGAAGGACGAGGACAAACACAGCGTCGTATCAGCTTTGGTTTTTAGCAAGACTGGGCTAAGTGCAGCAGAGTGCATTGAAAAAGGCCACACAAAACCCAAGTGTGCTGGGAAGAACCAGAAAAATGTGGCTTGCTTTCTGCTTCTGTGCTGCTATCTAGTGGCTTCTTGCAGGCAGAAAAGGAAAGGCAGAGAGCTGTCTCAAAAAAATTAGTTTTCAGCTCGTTAGCCTTATCCCTCGCAATGTGCTGCCAGTTTGTGTGCAGCTGGATAATCTCTTAGCGGGTGAACGGGTTCCACGTGCTGCCTGCACATGTCTGGGGCTCATTTTGAAATGTCTGTTCCAAGATCCACTGACACGAGTGGAAGTAATGAAAAAGCACAGGGAGCTTCAGCCTGCGTGTATTTGTATGTATTATACAGCCTATCCAAGGCAGAGCTCTCGCTCTGCACAACGTTTGCAAAGTCTGTTTACCAAATAACTGCACAGCAGAAAGGAAACTTTGATCAAGATTTTGGTTATCAGGTATTATAGAAGTTTATTTCACTTGGAAAACTTGTTGATATAAGGATTAGTCTGACTTAGTCTGTAATATTAAGAAAAAAATCTTTATGGGCAAGCAGTTTTCATGATTAGCAGTCAGAAGGATGGTCCTCAAACTCCTGAAGAGCATGAGTGGTTGGAGTCAGATAATTTTGGAAACGCCACACTTGCCTAACTCTGATTCCAGTAGAGAATGATTTGATAAAATTGCAGAAAGCAGAAATTGCTCAAGACGTTTTCTGAGATCTAGATCAGACACCAGATCAGAGTTGCTCCAGCCCCGGTCATGGGCTAGAGCCCACAGCAGCGACGTGCTTGGCCAGGCGGAAGGAAAGCAACATCTGCAGTAGGGCCAGTAATTTTAGTTTAATGTTACTAATAATCAAATACGAAAACACAGTCTAACATCATCAGGTCCTTTCTAGTTTCGGTACCTTCTTACACAAGGCAACACGTGACATGAAGACAGAAAATAGCCGAGCCGGTTTCCTCCATCGCTGTTCCTGGCCCAGGGGTCAGTAATCACCTAGTATCTGTGCTCCCACACCGAACTCTTCAGTCAACCATGAACTCACCTCCACATTTTCAACCTCTTAGGCCTCCTGCAACAGGCAGCCACAAGACAACGCACAGGACAAGTGAAAATACAAAGCACACCAGAGTCATCTAGCCCAGCTTGCTTTCCATTTCTTCCTTCCTCAACAGGATGAGGAGACTTTCCCTCCTTTGTGAGCCTTTACGAGCATGCTTACCTGCAATACCTCACCTTAGCCAGGCTCTCCAGGACTCCTGGGGGAAATCACTCCCCTCCCCAGCCCTCCCATCTCTACCAGCTGGGGGAAGGACGGGTAACTGCTCTGCCGACCCCAGCTCCCCTTAAAGCACAACCAGACTGTGGCCCTGAGGGTCTCAGCTGTTCATATCAACACCTTCTGAATTTATTATTGCTCCTTCATGCCTCATTTGATAATACAGGTTTGTTCTTCATGTGACTCCTTGAAAACAACAAACTAAATGATTGAAAGTTTGTGGTAAACCTGCAAGACTTCCCCGTGGCAGCAACATCTGCTTTAGGTATTCCACGTTGCTGCTTGGGATGAGCCTCAGGGCAAAGTTTGTACTGACCAATATTTGGGAAGAGTTGGTCTCTCTCCTGCCTGTACTACTTTTCTGCTTTTTTCAGGAAGTCACCAGCCTCTGTTTACAAATGTGTTCTTAAAAACGATTGGGGAAAATTATTCTTCCGCTTAAGCTGATTTGGGTGTATTGTGTCTGTTGCTTAACAACGCATGAAGTGTTGATTCATTGTCATAGGGCTGCCCCCATTTATTTATTTTAAATAAACCCAAGTTTAGTGTTGCAGAGAATAAAAGCTGAGAGCCATGCCTAACCGAGGAGCAATGGAGAGGTGCTAGGCCACAGACACTCCCCATTTATGAGCTAAAAGCCATCACACAAATCTGATATATGACATTAGAGTTGTTCAGTATCTAGAGGGGTGTAAAAGCAGGGCAAACTTTCAACCAATATTTTGTGCAATGTCCATGACTTCTCCACAAGCTAAGCAAAGTAAGAATTTAATTAACTTTACAAAGTAGTTATTTTTTGTTCAGTTTTTTTATAGGCCTGGAAGTGAGACTTTCCACCCTGAGGACTTCTCAGGGCACAGGTGGGCCTGAGGAGAAAGCCCCAGAAAAAGTGATATAATTTACAGAGGAAAACACACTTAGGCATAGTTCTCTGAAAACATACTGTGAATAATCTGCACATCAAAGTAGTGATGGACATCCCACGAGGGGGTGAGCATCAATGGCTCCTCCAGTTTTAACTGTGGGTGGACAGGAATTAGTACATTACATTACTGAGCTGTTACCAGGACTTTAATGAAAATTCAACTAAATGAATACTGAAATACTAAAACTACTAAGCTTCTCCACGTGCCACCTCTGTCATGGCAGCTACAAGATTGCTTCTGGCCCCCGATGACATACATTCTTTCATAACTGGCAGATACAATACGGAGTGAAGATGAAGACAAACTTTTAAAAAAAACGTGTGTTTTTTCTTTTGTGGTTGAGTAGCCATTCTGGCACTTCTTTTTTCAGAAGGAAGAGAGAATTTGAAGCAGATAATAAATATAATGGTAACTTTCCTTTGGGTTTGATAAGTGGGTTCTGGAAATTTCCATTCAAGCCATTAGCGCTTCTGTTTCTGGAACAGGCTGATAAAGTTTTTTTTATTAGAAGTGTAGCTTTTATTTGTTTTGTTAGAATGATGTGAATAATGCTTCAGGAGTCCAGTCACATTTAGCTGCTGAGCAGAGGGAGCAGCTAACACTTTGCAAACTATTTAGTGTCCCAGCGATGACAAAGGCAGGCATGCATGTAGTCCTTACTGTACTATATAAATGTTTTCCTCTGCATGGTTCTCATTTTCCAGTGCGCTATGGCTCCCTGCACCTTCTGGCCTCCAAAATGCAACGAAGCTGCATAAAAGAGTAAAAACCATGCTTTTAAATAAAAAACAGACAAGAGAAACACAGAGCAGATAGCTAAATCAACCAGCTCACTACAAAAACTTAAAATACGCAAAACTTATTTAACATGACTGATAATGACTCACTCTTCCATTCATGAGACAACCCACACTTTCGGTTTGCATGCTCCCTAATGCAATGAACTGACAGTTATACACATTTTTGCCTACTAACTAATGATTAGTAGCAGGATTTATTAATTATTTTTGCAATGTTTCCTGTTAACTTGAGATTAAAAAAGAAAGTCAAGGTATGTGGTGGAGTGGTCAGCACACTGACGACATTTTCTTTCTGCAAACTGGTTTGTCCTATTAGCTAAAGCAGAAACAGAATACTTACTGCGCAAAGTCACCCATCTTCTTTGTATTGGATAAATATTCTAAGGACCATCCAGGATGAAAATAAAGAAAAAGAAAGAAAACAAATAATTTTCTTTGAAGCAAGTAAAGTAGCAGGTTCAAAAAAAAAAAAAAAAAATTCAAGTGTGAAACTAAATAAAAGAACTTTAAGGCAATGTTTTCAGTATAGGAAATCTCCATTATTTCCATGACATTTAACTCATATGGCTTGGTCTGACCAAAAGCCTCTCTGGAGAAAGTCTGGCAGCTAGAAGAATGTTGGATATAGTTATATGAAATCAGTGCCCCTCCGTTGGGAAGGACTGGGACAACATGGCAACCAAGGAATGAGTAGGAGGAAATGAGTGGGGCAAGGGAGGTAGGCTTCTATCTCCTCACCAGACCCGGGGTCAACTGGTTGCTAAGGAGTCCGAGACACAAAAATGACAGGACCACATTGGCACCTTGCTGTTCCCTACCCCAGAGGCCAAGGGGGAGAGCTGAGCAAGCAACCACAGGGCACAGAGCGAGGCCATCCACACACCTTAGCTCGCTTCTCTGAAGTGGAAGACATCTGGCATCTGCCACAGCTGTGGTTAGACATACCTGACCCATCCTTAAATAATCACCTGTGAAAAGTACTTACGTCTAGTGAGGAACAGAGCCAAAATAAGGATGACTAGAAGTGCTGCACATAAACCAATCCCAATGTATATCCCATTTTCTGAATACTGCTGATTGGGAAGCGATACAGACATGTTCTGTCAAACACAAAACAGAGAAGCATTAGTGTCAGTAAGAGCAAAAACTCCATACAGTACCCAAAGGCCGTCTGTGTGTTCTGCAACCCTGCAGTAAAAGTACACTTGAGAGCAAGAGCTTAACTGGAGATACAGGACTAATTTCAAGCAGTATCCCTGCAACAGTTGTGTGAACAATGCTGTTAAACACATTACTGCTTGAGATAGCGAAAGGACATGAAGTTATGACAAATCCCATTTGTTCAGTTTTTATACTGTTTAGTGAATATTTTACTTATGATTAAAATATCTCCAGCTGTCACACTTCCTCCTCCCCCCCCCTTCTTTTTGTCATATTATTCAGTAGTTATTCAAGGCTTTACACCAATAATATGCCTTCTCCTTGCATTGGTCTTTATCCAGGCAAAACTTCTTTCTGAAGCCAGCCGTTAGCTATCCAGCCTCTCATTAGGAACTCAGGCCTGAGAAGATGCTGAAGTGCATTATGGTCCCTGACTCACATTCTGCACCCAGAGCACTACGAATGCCCACAGCACATACTGCCTTGTAGTACGTCGCAGCAGGGCTTCCCAAAGGCTAGCTTGGCTGCCTGCTCCTCCTGATAAAACCTGGGTGATGTTGCTGCCTGTCACCCTGCAACATGTGCTGGAGGGCTCAGCAGGACAGACACAGAGCTGCCTGCTTGCACCCCGCTGCACAGGGAGCGCAGGTGCATTGCTTTCCTCTCAGGTGGTCCAAGTTCCACTCTTCCCCCTACCCTGCCATACCTGCAGGTTTGAGGTTACATCCAAGCAATCGGAGGTGTTTGAGCAGGGTCCAGAGGCCTGAAAGGCAATATAGATGTTGCTAAAGCTCTTCCTGTATTAGTAGGAAGTACTTTATGCATGCAAAGCAAGTTTTTTTTATCCCCTTTACTAATGACCACATAAGCATTCTTTCATAAACTCTAAACGTGCAGACCGCAAAAAAACCTATTTTGCAATCAGACTAAAACTGTAGGGATAACCCAATAACCTCTTATGTCTCCCCACTCTGTCTAGGTGTGCTATAGCACAACAAAGATACTTACAGTCTGAGGAGCTTCTGAAGAAGAAACTGATGGCCACGTTCTTGTGATGGTGAAGGAGGACTCGCTGCTGCTTCCAGGAGCTGAGCAAAGGCAAGACAAACACATCACTTGCACAGAGAACCATTCTGCCTTGACGGAGAGGAATTTGCTGACTTGGGACCGCCAAACTTAAGTATCCCTCTGCCAGGAGGCTTCGCTCTGCATATTATAAAGATGTTGGTGCCTTCAGAGGGCAGCACAAAACTCTGAGAATTGGAGCCTCTGTTGCCTTTTTCAGAGCTTTGTGTTCCTTCTAGGAAATACATAGCTCTTGCTGTTACCTCAACACAGGGCCTAGAATGAAGCAAGGTAGGCATCTGGTTCTGGAGCCAAGAAGAGGCAGTGGATGCCTTAGGTAAACTTAGGTTATCTTATGAAAACTGATTAAGGTTAGCTCAGGGCCTTGAAAGAACAAGTGGTGCCAAGCTAGAGAAAGCAAAAGATACTTTCAAAGTCCCAGACAGCTACACAATAAACAGATTGACCAAAGTGTGATATGTTTGCATAAGGACCTGCAGCATATTTTGAGGTAATTTCCCCAAGCAAAGCTGTTTGCAATATTTAAAATTCAAAGCCACAAACTTATGTCTTCCATATATGTCTCAGTTTCTCCATGTGTTGCCAGATGATATACAACCCTCCTGAAAACGAACTCTCCTGTTCACATTATGACAACTGCGGCTGTTTCCTTTGATGTTTCAAATTGTGACCCTTTTCCCAGAGCTTTATTTTGAAGAGGACAGGATCATCTGTTTTGCTGTTCTCTTCCACTGGAGATGCTGGAGTATTTCTACATCAGAGGCACATGGCCACCTGTCTTTTCCAGTCTCCCTCTGAGTGAACATGTACATACTAACTTGCATTCTGAACATATTAAAAAAATGTTCCACCAGCATCTAAGGAAGATGTCACAAGGCTAAGAAAACCCATGAGTTCTAAGATTGGAAGCCATGTTATCTGCAACTAGAACAGAAACAGTCTGAGAAAGTTTTCACTTCTTCTTCCAAAACGGAAATGCAAGTGCTGTAACATTTTAGAGCTGCTTAGCTGGAAACACCCGAGATGGAGGGAGAAATACAAATGGCATCCCTGACTCTTCTTTCAAAATCCAGAGAACAAGCTAACATTACACTACAAGCTCTCTCTTGCATACTGGAAATTAAAGTTCTCTTTTTCAGACTGAAAAAGGTGCAGCTAAGTGGCTATACGATAGAAGTCTATAAACTTCTTAATAGAATAGAGAAGTAGAGTGAAGAATAGCCATTCATTGTCTCTTCCACTACAGTGAGGGGCCTCACATAAGACTATTACGTAGGCATATGCTACACAGGATGTGGGCAGCCTCAGAGACACAAGTTATAGCAGTGTAGAAGGAAATTTTGGTGCTGTATCACAAAGTTACTGCCCTGTTTCTATGATTCTCCTTAATTACCTGCTCTTGACTGCTAATGGAGATCAGATACTGAATTAGATGCACTTTTGAGCTAGCACAGAAGAACAGTTCTATGTTATATTACACTGAGCAACAAATAAATTGATTAAATAGTGGGTGCACCCAACTTCTAAAAATTTGTGTTTTACTGCTCACGGGATGCATTTCCACAAGACGAGGTGAGATTTTATACCACAAAGAAAACAACATACCAAAACAACAGCCACAAGGAAAAATATTCTTGCAGCACCAATAAGACATCTACTTAAGTGTAAAACCTGGGAGCAAAGTTCCTTCTGTTGGACACTCTATTTACTGTCAGGCCGAATTTAAATCCAAGTTCTGATCTCTGGTTGTATGGTAGTGTTTAGTAAATTTCAGCCAACACATTTCTATAATGTCATTTTGTTTCCTTCCTAAATTTGCAATATAGCTTATATATACTATTGAGATTAATACTTGGATAAAAGTTACCTGAGGTCTGTTCAGAGGTGTAAGTGTGAGGACTTGCAGTAGAGGTCCTAGCTGATGTTAAAAAACAAAACCAACATACGTTATAATTAACCTTAGTGTGCATTTATGTAGCAAAATCAGAAAGTGTTTCTTTAATAAAAATTTGCTAGCACCAGCTACACATCTGTCAGCCACGTGCTCCAGATTTTATGCTTTTACAAACAAGAGAAAAACTAAAAATCAAAGGAAGAGTCAATTAAAAAAAGTTGTCTATACTAATTTTACATCCCTGGGCTTTACTTTAGAATCAAGCAGGGAAAATGAAGCACTGTTTTCTATGAAAAGAGTGCAAGTAAAATGCTTTAAATGACTTAAGTACATTGTGCTGCCCTTTCTCTTAAATTCTTCAAATAGCGCTCAGCAGTTCTATGCACCGTGAAACAAAGCACCACGTCCTTTTGTCAAATTCAGTGACCGTGCTGAGATTACAACAATGCCAAAGACAGCCTGATTTAAACAGCACTAACAGCAGATCTGCAAAGTCCTAAAGATCAGTCCTCTGGATGATTACAGAAATCATTTCCACCACAAGCTCTGAAATCCAGACTCAACAGCAGATTTACCCCAACGGTACTCACACAAGGGCACAACTTTGCACTCACCTTTCTCTATCACAACCTTGTGATTACTTGTCTGATCATTGAACCACCCTGAGATCTCCACGCGGCAGCAGTATATCCCACTGTCTGCTTCCTCGGCGTTCATGATCGTGAGGGACACATCTCCCATCAGCAGGTTCCCTGCCAGCGTGTACCTCCTGTCGTACCGCTCTGTCACCTTCCATCCATTTGTCCAGATAATGGTCCGATAACATTTTGAAACAGGGCAGCTGTCACGACCCCAGCACATTGATGTGATGTCTTGTGTTGTCTGAACACTGTAAAAGCAGGGCACAGTGACATTCTGACCAACATTTCCTTTCACGAGCGATCCCGATACTGTGGGGCCTGCGGACAAAAAGACAAACATAGCTGTTGAGCACAGCACACACCAGCAGAAGCTTCTCATGCATCTTGCATGGCCCCATACCTCCCACCTCACAAACACCACCAGGCATTGCTGGATCAGGTTTTCCACGGATGGATGGGAATCCCAGCAGGACTGACATAGGGAGGGGTAATGATCAGGCCAGTGATTTGTTCAGAATGTGTCTCTAGCCAGAGAAAGAAGAAATACACTTTCTGTAGCCTCTACAGGTAGGCAAACAGGTGAAGAGAGAACAGAGCTTGGATCTGCACAACTTTGTGGCTTCTCTTTGGCCATGTCTGCTTTGTTAGCTCTTTTTTTTCCTTAGATTGAATCCAAGTCACACATGGTGGAACAGTAAGACATTGACTTTCATTAAAACTACCATGGGAAACCCTTCCGCCCCCCCTTTCAATGAAAAGCCACTGAATGGCAGGTTTCATCAGAGTGATCACTGCTGAGCACATTTCCTTTTTTGCTTGCCTAACCACAGATTTTGCCCGTTCCTATCAGAAGAGATTTTTCAGAGCTTTCCTGAGAAATTTTGTATCTTCTTTCTCCACTCCTTATTTTCTTTCGTCATTCTTGTGCAGTTTCTAACTTGCTTGGTTCTCATTAAAGGTCATTTTTCACATTTCCAGAAGGCTGTGTCACGCTATGCAAGTCAAAACACAGAAACCTAGCAGCCAGTAGCCCATACATCACAGTGAGATAGTTTCTTTTGCTGTATTTAGACCACTCCAGTCAATATTCCCTTTAGAAGGGTTTTAATAAGAGCAGTGTTAGGCACTAGCCAAAATCATTTGTGCTCTGGTGATCCAGTCATAGCCATCTTGTAAGCGCGTTCTTCCGACAGGTTACACATTGGAGCTCCTGAGGTGCACGTTCTATCTGCTTGTACTTCAAAGAAAACTGTTTGCCATATACTCACTACTACACATTTCTTATCAAATCCAGTAACGTGGGATCACATGTGTAAATATTTCAACCTATCTGTATTAACATTTCACGGATGGAATTCTCTGCAGCAAGTACAGGCAACAAATTACCCCTACTGAAAGTCTAGCCCAGTCTATAATTAGGAAGGGAGCTCCCTGGGGCAGGTCAGCCAACATGCGCTGGTGCATCCCAAGCACCACATGGCTTGATTGCAACTGTCGCTTGTGAAAAAGCTGTTTTGCCCAGCTCAGCTCAGTCACTTCCTAACCTAAGCTATTATAGTTAAAAATGAGTCTGCATGCACAGATTTTGCCACAATAGCATACTAGAAACTAATCTCTGAAACTAATGTATTTTAATTCATATAAAAAAGCAAGCTCAAAATGAATGTCATCATAAAAGAACTGCAAGAAACAGTATCTGTAATATCCCTTTTCTTTCTACTAAACATAACCTACCACCTAATTTTTAATGTATCTCTGCGTATACTAGTACCACTCTGCAACCTGTTGTTTTTAGTGCTATTGCCTTTAGCAGTATTTTCCGAGGATTGCTTTCTCAGAATAAAAAGGAGAAATTATCAACTTGTCCCAGTAAAATCTCGTATCAGCAAAAGAACACCAGAAGCCACAGCTGACCTTTTCCTTGTCTTTGCAAGCATTCTTCACAAATCCTGTTGAAGTAAAACACCCTTGTTTCACATCTTGTTTAAAATGATTTAAATTCTCAGCTCATCTCAGATCGTTCTCTAAAAAAACCCAAAAGATCATTCACTAATTAAATGAGCAGACAGCCCAAGAGGCAGTGTCTCCAAAACCAACATACCCTCAACATGATTTTGTTTTAAAAACGAAATAAGGCCATAGGACTATTGAGCCACTGTCATAAAGTTCTATTCATAAAAAAAAAACTGCAGTTTGTGTGCCATGTGGCCACTCTTACTGTCGTAACATAAAAATCTCTCCCTTTGCAACCCACAGAAACACTGATGCAAGTCACTTCCATCCACCTCCACCAATTTGTTTAGGCTCACTCAGTTACCTGTAAACAGGATCAGAAGAATCCAGTTCATGCAGAAGTAAGACGACATCGTGGCTGAAGACAAGGAACGATATTCCTGTTCGCCCTTTGGGCACCCACATTCAAGAAAACTCATCTAGTTCATAAGCTTCTGGTTTTACATCATCTTCAGACCCAGCCGCGAATGCCCTTTAGTCTGATCCGGATTGCCTTTCCTGTGGTTAGGCTGCTGGGCTCGAGCAGCACAGCCAAGCACTGCTGCTGGTAGGGTACACGGCTGAACTGTTGCTGACTGTGGTTTGACTAAAAGGCTAAAAAACTTACCAGTACTTCAGAAATCTACTTCTCGTTTTTCCAGATCTGCTTGATTGCAGTAGATGAAACTGTTGTCAGCACCACTGAGCTGACACAGCTATCAGTAATCCATTGCCCCCTACTGCTTCCCACACACGCTTTTGCCATAATACATAGAATTTGGATAAGAGATTACATGCAATATGTAACAGACTGCGGGAAACGGAAAGGGCTTGGCAAAGTAACAGATTCCTGGGTAGAATTACTCAAGCATTTAATCGTAAATTTCTAGTTCTAATACTTAGAAGGAGCTCACAGCTACTTTAAAGCAAATGCTGTTTTCTTTGTAGGCTATAATTTGGTAGTATTGGAAAGCTGCCCTGTTACACCGTTGTAGCCTAACAGAGTTGCAGTTTCTCATCATCTGACTCTTAAAAATTTTGTATGCATCTGGGATTTTGCAATGTGAAGTAACACACAGAGAATACAGCAGTCACTTTAAATGCAGCGTGGAAACCATGTCGCCCCAGGCTGAAGGCTCACTTTGACAAAATGTTGCTGAAATACAGCTTCTGAGAAACGGTGTTCCCTGGCAACGCTCCCTGCCCTTGGACTACCTAACTCTTCTCGAGGACATCATCTCTTTTTACATTGTTTGCACGAGAACTGCAGCTGTGATCAAGTGTATTTGATCTAAGGCCAACAAATGTTCTTTGCTGAAGGAACTGATATACTTTACACTGGTTTATAGACACAAAATTAAGTTGTAACAAGTTACTTTTTATCAATGACTGAAACGGCAGAAATGCTTCCAAAAACACACCCTCATAATAAGGTTAAGCTAAAATCTGAACCAACAGAGCTGTCTGGCACTGACTACCTCACATGAGGGCAGAGCCACCAAAGTGAGTTTCTTTAAGTAGGGAGGAAAACCAAGGGATAAACGTAGCCAAGAGACAGATGAACGCTAGCAACATACCTGTAGGAAAGAGCCAAGAGAAGCAGGGAGAAAGGGGGATTTTTGCACACAGTGGTCGGAAGCAGGACTCAAGAAAATGCTTCCTCTTCACTCCTCTTGTTTCTGAGGAAACAGGAAACTGCAGATAGCTGCTACAGCAACAATTCTGATTATTAACAGCAGGATCCTGAAACTGCTCCACATACATGGAAAAGGCAGGGCAACCTGGCTCTGGCAGAAGATGGGTGACTGCGTTCACCACAGCCGTGCCATGGCAGTGAATGGTTGGTGAACTTCTCTCAGTGCTTCAGCGTGCAGCAAGCATCCACCCACAGACCATGCCATGGCCCTTCTGCCAGGCACCTGCAGCAACCGGCTGTGTGCATGGGTCCACATGGATTCTTCCTCTGCACAGGCCAGGTCTGAGCTCTGAAATGAGTAAGCAGGATGGGAAAATAAGGAAACTTATCCCAGAGCTCTGCCCGAGCCATTTCTACTCACTTCACCCTGGCCATTTCATTCACACAACAGTCTACAGCAGTTCAGGTGCTTCCTGCTGGCTCTATCCCCAGTAAAGCCATTCTGGTCACACAGTAAGAGCATGCGAGAGCTACAGTTAACCCACTTGCTTTGGATTTCATCACAACATAGACTATACAGAATGCCTTGATATCATTTCTGAGTTTCTACATGCCTGTTTTCCAGCTCCTGTTTTTTGTTTGTGCACTACGTGAACGCCATTTCTGTAGAAAAGGTGCAAATATCATTTTTTCCATGCAGCCCTTAAAGTAGCTGCTCATTTTTTCTTGGCTCAGAGGATATAGCCAGATCGTACTTTGCGAAAACAAAACCAAACCAAAACATTAAATCTTGAAGTAAGTTTAAAGCATTGTTGGAAATCTCTCTTCACTGCACTATTTGAAAGCTGTATCATTAAACAGCTTTCTTTTCCCCCTAGAAGATCAGAGTTACAAACTTCACCCTTGTCCACACTTGGCTTCTCTGTATTAAGAAACTTTTGGAACTTTTCACATAACTGTACCTCTATTATCCCTGTGGTTGTTCAGATAGTGTAATAGAAGGGCTTGGCTTTTTTCTTTTCCTTTCTTTTTTTTTTAATTAAGAAAACACCCAATAAAATGCTGCTTAATACCTGATGTTAACTGTATCTCATCAAGTTTCATAAGGCATATATAATCCAACACATACGGCATACCTTAATGTTTCAGGGGTAGAGTACTTCAAATGTTATCACATCCAAAAATAAAACCAGGATTTGCTGAGGTAAGGAAAGATCTCATCATCAGGAGCAGGTTAATTAGCATTTATGAACAAATTTGCTCATCAGTGAGTCACATCATCCTACAAAGCACGAAATGCCCATTTCCCTAGACTAACAGTCACATGCCACCCACTTCCTTCATGACAGCTACAGGCCATTGTTTTCCCCAAAGCAAAGTTGTTACAGAAAAAGGTAAAACTGTCATTGCTTTGACCTGACAAAGGAGGAAAAAGTCATTGTTTGGGCTGAAAAAAGCCCAGGAAACCTCCCACAGTTTTCTAAGGGTTTACCTTAAACATAGAAAAAAATTGTCTAGAATAAACTGATTATTCATGGAACTTATTGGAAAGTGAATGCAGCCTTAAGTATTTTTTTAAATGACACCCCCATTTACCTCAACAGTTTCACAAAGAAATCCATTGCAATTGTTAGCTGCTGCTAGGACCCAGCTCGTGCAGTATTTTGAAACTATGGTACCCAGGCCTATGACTTCGTTAAAAGCATAAAAATTAGACCAAAATCAACAGAAAACCACTAAGCATCTATGGCCATTCTTTTTGAATGGCAAAGTTAAAACATCCGTGACAAACCGTAGTTCCACAGTGCACAACGACTGTTACCCAGGAGACACTACATGTTTCTTCGTATCTTCCACATGAAACAACGTTTACAAAGTACAGCAGAATTAATCTGGTATCACTTGCAACTGTTTTAGTTACCTACAAGTAATACAATATAGGGAGAAGGAAGGAAACAGTTCTGGTTGAACAAAGGACAAGTGTTAACTTTGTAAAATTACTTATACATTTCTAAAAAACATGTTTCTACTTCTTTATTGTTACTTCTGATGTCCTGTGCACTTAAAATAGCAGATGACGTCCTTCAATGAGTCATAAAATCGCTTCACTTCATCTGCACTGAGCTCCATCCCCGCCACCCAACAGCTAAGCACTTTCGCCTGCCCATTTAAGTAACATTTCTGAAAACAACAGAATTACCAAATGAAACAAACCTTGTTAAATCACAGTTAAAACCAGAGTTTGTGCAAGCTCCCTCACCTGTCAGGTTTACCTGTTTTTTAGCTGCTGTACATACTTTGGAAAACATACATACTATGGTGTTACGTGGCTAGAAGAGGGAAGTAGGATTTCCCTGACAGGAGGGGTGGAGTAACGCCACTTCTTCACTCTCGAATCACTCTTTTCCTCTTGCTGTGGGGGGGTTGATCCAGCTCAAACATTCTTTACACACAGTTAATATGGCTTCCACTTGATGTAATACTTGCAGGTTCTCTCAAACTTGGAAGTTCCCAGTTAGTATTGGCTAATTATCCAGACTCTCCTTCCTGAGAAAAATGCTCAGCTGTGCACAGAGCCCACCTAACAGAAAAAATACAAAGCATCTGCACTGCAAAATTATTCACTTCATGCACATACATTAAATATGCAAGAAATGTAAGTTAGGCTAAGCGTCTACTTGTTCAAAAAAAAAGTTGACATTTTTGTAAGCTCAAGAATGGTTAAGATTTACACTGAAGAAAATTAAAATCCAATTAATTTTAATTCATTTAGTTGAGATTCTTGACAGTGCGTTTCTATAAAGCAAACTGCACCACATCACATCTGGAATAAAGGAATTCTTAGGTTCTCTTTAGTACACAGTTATATTACTACTAAACTAGAAAAGAATGGATTTTGCAGACTTCACACTAATTTTATTTTTATTATTGAATTACACATTCCTGAAAGGACCCACTGAAATTGTAAACAACTAGCACTTCTGTGAAATGGAGGAACTGTCAACTGCAATTCCTCTCAGTCAGACCCCTTACTTGCTTCCACTCTACAAAGTAATAAAAAAAAAGTGCAGCACACTCAGAAAAGCAGAAAGTGACAAATGAAAGTACAACAGAAAAAGCTAACTTTAATCTGTGGCTACCACCTCGCATGATACATTTAACAAAAAGTATACCTTTTCTGTTTCTACCAATAAACACACAGCTCACAAAATATTAAAACATTTTTGTCTGCTTGTACAAGAGAACAAAATACAAAAGACACCCTCCGAATGCCTTCTGCCTCTCACTATAGCGAGCTAACCGAAAAAAAAAAAAGTGTCTTCTTCACGTCATTTCATCAATAATGCTACACATAGCTGCATCTTTGTCTAAAACCTGATCTCTCTTGCCACCGGAATGCTCTCTCTGTTTTTCATTCTGTCCAATACAGTTGTTGCCATCATCAGTATCCAGCGGTTCCACTTTCACTCTCAGTCCTCCCTCGGAATGAGGCAGATCATCAGGCAAGGAAGCCAGGCAGTTCTGAATCATCTCTACAACTCGCTCCAAGTGCTTCTGAAATCGCTCTGCTGTTTCCAAACGCTGACGTTTCTGCACCTCCATCATGACTCTCAGAGTCTCCCTAGCTTGGTGAGGGCGATATTCATTTATAAGATGATGGACATGAACAAAAAGCAGTTTCAAGTCTTCCAGTTTCTCCTCTCGCTTTATACTCCCTGGACTCCTTATCAAGATATCCAAGAGGTCCAAGAAGTTGACCAGGATAGACATATTAAGTTTTCTTAATTCCTTCTTGTGATCAAACTGCATAGGATGTAACCGTTCAATACCCTGGCTCTCCAAGGGTCGAATAATCAGATCATCACATTGAAACTGGTTACCAAACATCATGTAACTGTCTTTCACAGGTGGAGGTGGCTTTGGAGCCAGGCCTTTACGGATATTCTCATCAGTATATTCTTTTATATATTGCATTGGAGGTGGAGGAAGGGCACTCACTTGCTGAGGTTCACCCATTTTCACCAGATGAAAATACCTAGGGAATGCCCCAAGAAACATATGTTAAAGAATTTGTGTGACAGCCTTATCATGTAAATAGAAACAACAGCATTGTAAGAGAGCTGGCTGTGAGAAAATAAACCAGAAGAAAGCCACCTCAGTGCGCAGAATACAGGAAACTCCCGAATAAATCCGTGTCAGCTTTGCACTAAGTCATACTTTTAGCAGGATTAACTTCACTAGAAGCACGTTAAGCATTCACCTCCCCAACCACGACAGACCGGCCTGCAAACAGTGCAGCCAC